TGATTGTTGTTTCTATTTGCTCAATCACTTCTTGACCTATTTTTTCTTTAACCTCTTGATGTCTCATCATCTCTCCAATCATTTTCATTCGCTCTTCAATACTTCTCTTTTTCTTCTCAAACTCTTCCATTGTCTTTTCAATATCTATTCCAAATGGTTCATCAAATGTTGCTGCAACAAAATTACTAACAGTCTCTTTGTTTGGACTCTCAAATACTTCATAAACTACTTTCTTCTGTGGAATGACAACTTTGTCCTTTTGATGAACTTCCTCCATAATTGAAACTAACTTCATCAAATTCTCAGCTTTCTTCTCATCAAATTCACCTTCATACTCTCTTATAATCTCTTCTATAATTCTAACCCTGTCTTCCATTATCTTGTTTTTTAAGTTTTATCCTTCCTTTTTATCCTTTCATTGTGACGTAACACATTATCTCATCTATACTCTTTGACAACTAACTATTCATTTGTTTTTCCTTGACTCACCCCCACGTGTTCATTTGAGTTTTATCATATTTTTGATGAAAAGACATTGTTATAAATAACATTCTTTTCTTTTTTAAATTGATGATTCTTTTTTTGGCTTTCTTCTTACTCTTAGTTTTCTGTATCTTCAAGCATATAATACATTGGAGACCTTCTCTTTCACTTATTGACATTCGCCATCATTACCACATTCCAATTACCTTACTTGATCAGTCATTTTCTTCGGCTCTCTTATTCTCATCTTCCCCTTCAAACAAGTCTCTTATTCTTGATTCTCATGTTATTCCTATTACGAATATCCGTTCTTGTATTCCCTCTTCTAATACTTTTCGCCTCTTTTTTGATCCTCCAACAAAATATCTCATTCAACCTATCACTTTTATTCCTCCACCACACTCAGCTTCTTTAGTTGCTCATCTCTTAACAAACTCATCTATTCACACTCATGACTCTTTTAATCTTTTCATTAACCATTTTGTCCCTTCTTTTCACTCTGTATTAACTCCTTTATCTCCTCAACTCATGTTACTCAACAACATCATTCTCTCATCAAAACTCCCTCCTTTGATTAGTTCTTTAAGAATTACCTCTGTTGATTTGTCTTTATTTCGTCCTTCAATTACGTCTGTTCTTCCTTTCATCCCTTCTCATTCTGACAACTATTCTACAATCCTTTCTTCTCAACTTCTTGTTTCTTTAAATTCTTCTTCACCAATAACAATATACTTAGATGGTTCAATTACATTACCTAGTCCATTTCTACATCATTCTTTTCGTATTAAATATATCTTTACATTCTCTGGTGTCCTTCTCTTTAACTTATATCAATATCCTTGTCATTCTTTTTATTTCTCATTCTATAATAATCCTTTGATTCTTGGTGATTTCTCTTTAATTTCTCAAACTCAGTGGATCAAGAAATATGCTTTTACTTATATCATGAATATTGTGTTTGTTTTTATTTTATTTCTTCTAACTCATTAACATTTTATAGTCAAATGGTGAAAAATCATATTTTGAGTGAATTCACATATCCTAATATGACTTGTATCCCACTTTAATCTCTTTCTTTTGTATTTGATGGTTATATCTCTTATTCTTAACAATTAAATATTTTTCATTCATTAAATCAATCTTTAGCTCTACAATAGTTTTATGAAAGTATTGTAACAAATTCAATTAATCTTAACTTATCTAACTAATTCTTGTTTTTTATTTTTATAGTTTTCATGGAATATAATGTGATATGAATAGTTTTTAAGTATCATTACAATGATTTTTCACAATCAATCTAAAACTCAGATTATTTATATCATTCTCATTAATATAAAGCAAATGTATTGTTGATTTATTTATAAATTATCATCAAATAATAATCAAGTGAGCATCAATGTAATATTATATGTTTTATGTATTAAGTTTAGTATTCATTTATTTTCATTAATAGTTCAATTTTATTACTATTTTGAATCAATAAAAAGATAGTAAGAGAATTAACTATTAAATAATAATGAATCATTTTAATTTATTATCGTAATAAACAAAAGAAGTAAATAAAAAGGAATTAATTAAAATTAATAGAATTAGTTTTATTGATCCTTACTCAGAGGAGATTAATCTTGTATTTGAATTTTTCTCTAATAATTCTATAGAGTATGTTCTGTTATTATAGAATCA